CACCCTGCGGGGCCCTCTTAATGTCATGCAACTTGAGCCCATCCACACCGCCTGCTTTGTTGGGGTTCGTGGCCTGCATGGCCGAGTCGAACTCCTCTATTGTGATCGGGTCCAAGTCTTCGTCTCTGGCCTGTCTGTGCATGACCTGCAGCTCCGACGCGATGTCCTCTCTGGTGTCCACTGCGTCCGTCCAGATCTTTAGCCACCTCTCCCTCTTCGTGTGCATGAGAATCTCTGGGTCCGCCGAGCTTGCGTTCTGGTGGTACTGCTCGTAGGTCGGCTGCGCTGGATCTTTGACGTGCTTGTGAAGGATGCCTGGCTTCTCCGACCACATCTTCTTTGCCCACTTGGTGAGCTGCTGCCGCTGTGTGGAGATGCCCCTGGAGACCGCAATTGCCAGGTGATTTCTGTTCTCATCCTTCAACCTCTCAAGCTCGTCCAGCGTGTGTGTCTTGACCTCCTGCACACGTAACATGCGCTCATCGGCTTCATCATGGTCAAAATTTTTCCCAAAGATCTGATCCAAGCCCATCCTTCTGAGCTGCTGGTAGGTCGTGGACAACTCCTTCTCACACTTCCTCTGTTGCATGTTGTCCGTGCCGTTGGACCGTAGTGGCGCATATCTGGCAATCAAGACTCCCATAATCGACCACAACTCTGCTGCTTGATACTTCATATGCGTACGACCTGGTGTGGCTTTCGACCTTTGCCATCTGATTGCAAAACCACCTCCTCTGCCTCGGTGCGCATCCGCCTGCTCGGCGTCCATCGCGTCTACTCCGATGATCGCCTCCTCCAGAGTGGTGGCCCAGACCGCATACTCGCCTGTGATCGCCTGCTCCATCAGCTTCTGATGCTCACTTCGGATGAGAAGGTTGGCCTCCAACTCGTGCATCTGCTTTGTCAACGCTGGCCCGATGGCAGTGCGACTGGCCTGCTCCCACTGGTCCTCGTCTACCGCGTACTGCACCGTCTGCTGCACCATGTTGGTCTGTGGGGGCTCGAGCCAGTTGAACTCCTCGCGCAAGACCTCGGGGAGTTCTGCCAGTCTCTTCTGTTGTGCTGCCTCCTTCTTCTTGCTGCGCTTGCTCCCTGGGTCGGGGGCCTTCTTCGGTGGGAGCACCAGTGGCAACGGCTTGGGGAGATCCAAATGCCTGTGCCACCAAGCCTCCGAGCGCCCTGGTAATTTGAGCAAGAGCCCCGTGTGTGTCCTCCAAGGTACTTTCGCATGTCCGTCGATGGTGATGCCGTCTGCTATATCTTCTCGTGCCATGGCGAAATCTATGAGACTGCCCTTGCCCTTGTCGCAGGTGACCTGGATCTTCGGAACGATCACCTTTCCTCCCAGGCGCGTGGGGAGGCCTGACTTCTCGACCAGGGTCGGGGGGCATATTCCAATCTGCCATGATAATCCAAGGATCTGCGATGCTCCCCGTGACCGTCGAGAGCGCCTTAATCTTTTCAAAGTGGCTGCCCTGCATGCCCTCCTTGGGAAGCAGGTAGAGGGATAAGAGAACGACATTGCCTCCGCTGAGGTGGATAGTCATGGCCGTGAACCCTCTGAATGGGTCCTGTCCTCCTCGAGCCTTGAGGGTCTCCCTCATCGCGTCGAACGTTGTGGTCGCCAAGTGCGCCTTGGCGATGAGCAGCTCGCCTCCGCTGTTGCCCTCCTTCGAGCGTCGCGTCGGGGTAGCTGCCGTGACTGCTGCTTTCCATCCGTCTTTGCTCAGGTCTTTCTTCAGCTTCGTGATGCCTGACTGCGGGACGTGGGGCTCCGTGAAGGCGAATATCTGAGCAAGTTCCTGGCTCTCGTTGAGGAACTTCTGAGGTTTCTCGCCCCATTGTGTGATATTGCTGAAGAATATACTGGTGACCTTCGCTGGCTTGGCTGTCTCACATGTCTGATTGCGAGCTCTCCCACACTGGCTGCGCCGCCAGTTTTGACAAGCTGCGCCCACATCTGGCGCGGACGAGGAGGTCCGATCCCCAAGACAGGGGGGCGATGTCCCTGGGAGACCAGGGAAGGCTGACCACTCGGGGGGCGGCGGTGCTGGAGGCCTGTCCAGCGCTGCAGGCGGCTGCCACGGTGGGCTAAATGCCAGCCCGACCAGAAGAATAGCCCGTAGCGCCGCCCGCAGCTGCCGTACCAACTGATGGTGAAGTGGTGGTCGCCCTCTGAGATGCCGCCCTGGCACGCTCCTTGTTCTCCTCGATGAGCTTGGCGATCGCCTCTGCCTTCCGCTTTTCTGCTTCTGGATCGCTGGCTTGTTGTTGCTGTGGTGGTGTCTCAGGCTTGGCGTCTTGAGCGGGTGGTGGAACTTTTGCGTGTGCTTGCCCGTCTTCGTTGATCCTGCGCTTCTTTGCCGCATGATCAGCCTTGATCTTCTTCGCGCTCTCGACCATGGTGAGCAGGGCCTCCTGCTGCGTCTTGGCGCGCTCCAACAACTCCTGCAAGGACTTCGCGTCCTCCCTGAACTTCGCAAGCTGGTCCTTCTGAGTCTGCTCCAGGTCCTCCTCGTCGGCGAAGAGACTCTCGTCCACCTGAAAGCCCGACTGCTCGGGCTTGGCCGCCGCGCCCTCCGCCACCGAGTGCATGTTGTATTCTTCCAGCGCCTTCGAGTGCTCCTGCTGTGCCTCGTAGACCTCCGCCGCGGCCTGCGCCACCTGCTCAGCGAGCTTGGCCAGCGCCTTCTCAGCGTCCAGGTGACGCTTGGTGACGCCTTCGAGCTTAGCCTTGGCAGAGTTGACCTTGCCGATTGCCTTCTTGAGAGCCGCCGACTTGGGTAACTCCTTCTTGGGCGGGGCGCACTTCTGGGATATGGTGGTCTGCAGGTGCTCCAGCTGCTCCTGCATGCTCTGGTCGGGCCCAAGCTTGGAGACGGCGTGGGCCAGCTGCCTGCACACCACTTCCGCGTAGGTGCCCTTGGTAGGTTGGTCTCCCCATGGTGGCTTGCGCGACGCCGAGGTTGTGTCCGCCCAGAGAGTGACGAACGAGTCGCACTTGGCGCAGCAGCCCCCATTGCGCTTGATCTTCCAGTCGTACGCCCAGTTGTTGCAGCTCTTGCAGATTGACCAAGCCCATTTCTTGGACGGCGGCCCCATCGCACTCGCGTAGTGCCTGCTGCCGTCTGGGAGTGGGTCGAGTCGCTCCTCCAGGAGCTCACAGGTTGATTGAGAACTGTCGGGCAGAGACGCCCTGGCACTGGCCGCGGACTAGCGGTATCCACGTGTTCCCCTGTGGAACAAAGCATCTTGAGCCAAAGTGGCTACGAAGCAGGAGCAGCAGGAGGCGGAGGAGGAGGAGGAGGAGGAGCAGGAGCAGGAGCAGGAGCAGGAGGAGGGGGAGGAGGGGAGGAGGAGGGGGAGGAGGAGGAGGAGGAGGAGGAGGAGGAGGAGGAGGAGGAGGAGGAGGAGGAGGGGGAGGAGGAGGAGGAGGAGGAGGAGGAGGAGGACCCCCCCCCCCCCTGGTGTACTGCCCCTCCTCCCCCCGAGGCCTCGGAGGCAGGCTGCTGGAGCGCGCGGCCCGCCGGCTGCCCGGCGCGGGGCCGCCCGGGCTGCCCGGCGCCGCGCCGGGGCTCGCGGCGGCTCTCGGCGCGCTGGGGGCCTGCGGCGCCCCGGAGGGCCTCGACAGAGCATTTCTCTGCTTTTCGCTGTGCTCTTTGCGGTGCTCTTGGCATCGCTCGGACGTGTGCCATTGTTCTTTCGGCGAGGACCACATCGAGGAGCATCCTTGATCATTGTGAGAAAGAACCGAAAAAGACACAGGGAATGGACGTCCGAGAGATGACCAGTGCTGGGCATATCTTGGCATCGCCTGGCGTTGTTTGGCACTGCTAGATGGCATTGCTTTTGGCGCTGTTTGGCGCTGCCGAGGGACCCCGAGGACCACGGACAAAGCCGGCGGCCGCCACTGCAAAACGTCGCGGAGGAACATCGGGGGAGAGGCACGGGGGGGTTCGGATGCAATTTCTGGGAGGTCAAGTTCTGTATTCCCTCTGGTCCGAAATCCGGCTTGATCCAGCTTTTAATCCGGCTCAATCCCGCTGAATCCCGCTTAATCCGGCTTAGTCCTGCTTGGTCCGAGGCCCTTTCCGGCGCAACAGCGCCCAAATGGGGCTTAATCCTCTTCAGTGTTTCCGGTAAAAACTTCCCAGTAGTTGCCTCCCACGGGGGGGATGCATCGACCCCCCAGCGCCCATTCATCGCCGATAGGGGGCTCGATAGCCCCGATCTGCCCAGGAAGGTGCGGACGCACTATCTGAGGCCTGTCGCCGATCTATCGGCGATGTATGGCCGATTCCAGGTCGATGCGTCCCCCCGTATGCCAGTCTCCCTCCTATCGTTGCCCCCCAAGGCGCCGTGTGGCTCGGTTGGGGCGTGCTTCGCTCGCTGGAGGTCGAAGAAGATGAACGGCATAAGCATCATTTCTTGGCGCTCCGCGCGGATTCCTTGGATCTGTGCTGGCCCCCCCCCCCCCCTTGGCGGCGCCTAGGGTCCGGCGCAGACCCACGAGATCCGCGCGGAGCGCCAACAGTTGATGTGTATGCAATATGTTCTTCTTCTAGGAGGGCCAGCAGGAGGCGATCAGGAGGGAACAACAACACACAGACACATCTAAACTCGCAGGAGGATAATGGTACCCATACCGCTTTCTTGTCTTCGTTGTCCTTCTTTTCGGGTCTCCTGGATGGCCTTCGTCGCCACCGCTGGATTCGCTTTGATATCTTGGTCACAACGCACCCCAGGAGAGGTCCGGGGAGTAGCGGTATCGGTGCCTGCTGGCTCCCCTGATCCGGGGGGGAGAAAACACAGGCACAATCAAACGTCGATCCCCGGGACCCAAAAACCCAGAATTGGGCGAGCGCGCCCGGTGGGAAAAAACAGCAGCGCCCAGATCTCAGTGGCCCTCCCTGAAGCGTTGGGTTTAGGGTTTAGGGTTTAGGGTTTAGGGTTTAGGGTTTAGGGTTTAGTGCCTCCTGAAGGCAGCGGTGGCGGTGCCTATGGTGTCTCAGGATCCCGCGGCCTCTGCTGTCCCAGATTCGGCGTGCTCTGAGGCGCACAGTGAGATCCAGCGGTGCGCGATGCTCCGCATCGACGGGATGACTTGCTCTAACTGCAGTGGCGCCGTCACCAAGGCATTGGAGAGCCACGAGCGGGTCGTCAAATGCGAGGTGGACCTCATCAACGAGAAGGCAACGGTTTGGTACCGTGCGTCAGAGAAGTTCACCGCGGGCGACATCTGCTCCGAGGTTGTAAAGGTTCCAACCTACTTTCGTCTTGATCACCAAAAAGATGTTCGATCACCGAGAAGGCATCGAAACTGGAGGCGTGTCACATGCCGGACACTGAGAGCCCATTCCTCGCGCGGCACTTCGCCGGCATGTTGGGCAGCCGCTGTTTCGATACTGGTCTCGGTGCGCGAATTTCTTTCGGGAGCGGGGTCGTGTCGCACGATGGGCGCCAGCTGCTCCGAGGTGGAAGACATCGGCTTCGGCGCCACCGCCATCTCGGACACGCTCGTGTCTCCCACCGAGGAGGGCGGCACGGCAATGCTCCACCTCGTGGACCCCGAGGGCGGTGCCGCCTCCGCCGCGGCCCTCCGGTCCGCCGGGGGCGTCGCAGACGTGCTGGTGGACGGCGGCCTCCTGGTGGTGACCTACGACCCCGCGAAGGCCAGGGCGAAACTCTTGGCCATCGGATGTTCCAACCTACCCCTGCCCAGATCACCAGGAGGGCTTTCGAGCACCAGGGAGGCACCGGCACGGGGGGCTTTTCGAGTGCCCGTCCCCCCTGGGAGGCCATGTTCGTTCGACGCTTCGCCAGCGTGCCCGGCAGACACTGTTTCGATGCTTGTCGGGGTGCTCGACATTTTTTCTGGAATGTGGCCCTTAAGTACGATGGGAATAACCGAACCCTTGGGAGCTACATTCAGCATAATCGCTGAAATATTTTCAGTTGAAGCCTGGCGCAATCCAGTGCATTCTCACCTCATCCCGGAGTTGATTTGGCTGCACGGCTTTTCATACCGCTTGATGGCCTTTAATCGATGTTCCTCAGGACGTGTGTTAGCCCAGGCGTGCGTTTACCGCGCTCGGCTCCGCCGATAGCGCGCAGCCATTGTCCGCCATCGCTGCGCCGCCTGCGTCAAACTCAGTCTTCGGTGGTCAGCCACACGTTTGGCGGCAACACGCGTTATGAGGATCATCGTTTGAGTCGTTCTTGCCGAGACTTTCCAGAAGTTGCCTCCTAACGAAGGTGGGCGCCCGCGCGCTCCTCCAGTCTCTCCGTGCGGCCAGGGGCGGCGCCGGCGCGTCCCTCGCACCGCCCGACCTGGTCGCCGCCAGGTCTGCCACGGAGCGCCTGCCAGAGGGGCTGGTGGCGGCGGTGGCCCTCACCGCCGCGATCATGGCCGTTTGCTGGGTGCTGCCGTGCTTCGGGCACTGCGCCCTTTTCCTCAACATTGAGGTCGTCCCCGGCCTCACGCTTATGATGGTGCTCGAAGACAACAAAGCTTCATCGGAGTGAGGGAGCCGAGCGGTCATTCACTGTCCCTGGGTGTCTGGCTGAAGCGGGCTTTCGCGGTGCGGATTGTTACTGTTGCTGTTTATCATATGTTGTTGAACATTATTACTTCTAAAGAATAATTATTGTTGGGACCCCTGGTGCGCGACCCCCCCGCCGCGCCTAGGCCGCAGCCACGTTTTCATCATTTTCGTGAGGAAGTCTCAGGCAAAACGGGTTGGTCCGGATCCGGTTGTGTTGTTACGATCGGTTTTCCCTTGCAAAAAATAAGCTAAAGTGGACATTTCTTGTTCTAACATAACCAAACTTCAAGAATCCCTTGCAAAAAATAAGGTAAAGTGGACATTCGCGCGCGCAAGACGAAATCCTTCCAAAACCTTAGTTTTCGTAGCGATTTTAACATAAAAACATCAAAAAACCAATGGTTTTTCAAACAAAATGTCAAAATTTCATCCCGCGCGCTCTTGCGGATTCGTAGGAAACCCAACACTTTTTAAACATTTCTGTCAAACGGGCTTTTGCGAGCAACTTTTTCGAACTTCTGCAACAACGGTTGCGCACCTGCCAGGGCCATCATCCCTGTCAAATAATACCATGCGGGACACATTCGTTTTTTCTTCGCGCGCGCACGCCGTCGTCGTCGGCCGCGGGGCCCTGAATAGTAGCCACGGTCGTCCGCATGCCACGAAGTGAAGTGTCCGAACGTCATAGGGCGGGAAGCTGGGTGTGGGTGGTGGCGAAGAGTCGTTTGGAAATTTGGTAGAGCTTGAACCGGCCCCCCCACAAAGTGGGGGTATTGCCCGCCTCCTATGAAAACCCTGGCACTGGTGAGAACGGAGTGTCCCCACGTGCTAGTAATTGTTGTTGTTGTTGTTGTTGTTGTTGTTGTTGTTGTTGTTGTTATTGTGGTTGTTGTATGTTGTTTGTTGTTTGTTGTGTGTTGTTTGTTGTGTGTTGTTGTTGGTGTTGTTGGTGGTGGTGATGTTATTGTTGTTGATGTTGTTGTTGCTGCTGCTTTTGATGTTCATGCTGGTGACGTTGTTGTTTGTGCTGTTGCTGTTGTTGCTGCTGATGCTGTTGTTGTCTGATGGCCGTTGTTTGTTATGTTGTGGTTTTGTAGTTGTTGGTGTTGGTGTCCGTGTTGGTGGTGGTGTTGGTCGTTGTTGTTGGTGGTGCTAGTGCTGTTGTTGCTGCTGTAGTTGTTGGCGTTGGTTTTACTGTTGCTGTTGTTGTGGTTGTTGCTGTCGTTGTTGCTGCTGCTTGTGGTAGTGTGTTATGTTTTCATGTTGTTTGATTTTTGTTATTTGCTTTCTGTCGTTTGTTGTTTGTTGTCGTCGTCCGCCCGCGATCCGGCCCGCGGCCCACCCGCGACCCACTTGCGATCCACCCGCGACCCGCCCGCGACCTACGCCGCGACCCACGGCGCGACCCACCCGCGACCGGCCCGCGACCCACCCGCGACCCACGGCGCGACCCACCCGCGACCCACGCGCGACGCACCCGCGACCCACCTGGGATGCACCCGCGATGCACCCGCGACCCACCCGCAACCGAGCCACGACCCCCCCCCCGCGACCCACCCGCGACCCACCCCGCGACCCACCCCTCGCCCGCCCCCCCACTCTCATCCTCAACGACAGGGTGCTGCATACATCGCGTAGCTCTCGGAGCTCCGCGCAGATCTCCTGGATCGGAGGCGCCGCCAGGGGGGCTGCGCGCGCCAGGGGGGTGAGTACAGCGCCGACCGATCAGTCAGTGCGAAGCTCGAACAGTTCCCATTTGTGTTCCTCTGCAGGTGCTGCTCTGCGCCCTTGCCACGCCCGTGCAGTTGTACAGCGGCTGGCGCTTTCACGCCGGAGCTTACCACGCTGTGAAGTCGGGCGTGTGGGACATGAACGTGCTCGTGTCCTTGGGCAGTGGCCTGACGTTCGGCTACTCCTTCCTGGTGATCGCGTTCGTGGTCACGGGCAGCAGGCATCACGATTTCCACCACTGCAAGATCCCCCCCTCGGCCTTCTTCGAGGCGCCCTCGGTGGTAGTGACATGTATCCTCGTGGGCAAGACTCTCGAGTCCTGGGCCAAGAGGAAAACCTCGCGGTGCTTGCGCGATCTGCTGACGCTGCAACCGCCCACTGCTCACTTGCTGCTGGCAGGCTGCACCGAGTCTGAGACTGTGCCTGTGGAGCTCCTGGAGCTGGGGGACACCCTGCAGGTCTTCCCCGGGGAGGCGGCCCCCGCCGACGGTGTGCTCGCCTCCGAGGCGGGCGCGGCCGAGTTCGACGAATCGCTGCTCACGGGCGAGTCGCGCCCGGTGACAAAGCGGAAGGGGGATTTCATCATCGGCGGCTCCAAGTGCGTCAGCGGCAGGGTGGAGTTGCAAGTGCAGCGCCTGGGCAGCCGCACCATGCTCTCGCAGATCATGGGGCTGGTGCAGAAGGCGCAGCTGAACAAGGCGCACGTGCAGCAGGTCGCCGACGAGATCGCCCAGCGCTTCGTGCCCTGTGTGGTCCTGCTCGCGATCCTGACCTGGGCCACATGGATCGTCCTCGTCTACCGCCTCGACCTGGTTCCACTGTCGTCCATCGTTGGCGGCCACCCCAGCGATTGGCCAGAGCTCGACCGGCTCCTATTCGTGCTGGAGCACGGCCTGACCGTGCTGCTCGTTGCCTGCCCGTGCGCGCTCGGGCTTGCCACCCCGACCGCCGTCATGGCCGCGACGGGTGCGGCGGCCAAGCATGGCATCTTGGTCCGCACCGGCGCGGTCCCGTTGGAGCTGGGCTCGAAGGTCAACTGTGTCGTCCTGGACAAGACTGGCACCCTCACGTGCGGCCGGCCCAAGGTCACGCAGGTCGCTGCCGCCTGGGGCAATGGCGGCTCTCATCCGCCAGCGCTGCACAGGCTCGTGGAGGAGCACCGCAAGGTCACTGGCGCCTCGTCGCGGGCAGCGCTGGAGCTGCCGACGGTGGCGATGACGTGGCTGCAGGAGTACGGCAGCGCCCAGGACGGCGTGCTCCCGAAGGTAGACGCTGCGGCGAGGCCCGCGCAGTTGATGCGCGGGGAGGTGGAGCGCGCACTGTGGTGGGCCATCGGCTCTGCAGAGGTGTCCAGCGAGCACCCCGTGGCGAAGGCGCTTGTCGAAACGGCCAGCGTGGTCACGAGGGGCTCTCTGACGAAGCCGGGCACCTTCGAGAACATCACGGGGGTCGGGGTGCGCTGCGCCCTGTCTGGCCTAGCCGTGGACGTCGCGTCCGCGACGAGCGTCCTGGAGCTAGGCAGTGGAGCCCCCGCCGGCGTGGGCGCCTCGCTCTTCGAGTGGGCGGCGGCCGTGCGGGCCGCAGGCGCCACGGTGGTGGCCCTCGGAGTGGAGGGCGTGCCCCTCGCGGCGGTGGCGCTGCAGGACGAGCTGGCGCCGCACGCGTGCTCGTGCGTGGCGGCGCTGCAGGTGGCGGGGGCGGAGGTCTGGATGTGCAGCGGGGACCACCGGGAGGCTGCGCGCAGCGTTGCGCGCCAGTGCGGCATCGACGAGTCGCGCGTCGTGGCAGAGGCGCTTCCGCCGGACAAGGTGGCTTTGATCGAGAGGCTCCGAGTCACAGACGACAAGGGTGGCGGAGGCAAGGTGGTCGCCATGGTCGGTGACGGCGTGAACGACGCTCCCGCGCTGGCCACCGCCGACATTGGCATCGCCATCGGGGCAGGGCACGACGTCACCGTGGAGGCTGCCGACATCGTCCTCGTGCGTTCGGACCTCCGCGACCTCGCAGCCTTCTTCATGCTCTCGCGTGAGACTCTACGGACGATCAAGTTTAACTTCCTGTGGGCGTTTCTATTCAACATCTGCGCGCTGCCAGTGGCGGCTGGTGCGCTGTGGCACTGGAGGATCACGCTGAGCCCTCCCCTGGCTGCATGCGTGATGCTGAGCTCATCACTCTTTGTATGCCTCAACTCGCTGTGGCTGACCAGCTTCCAGCCCGCCAGTTCTACCTGGGTGCTGAAGTTGCTGTAGCTGCGGCGCGGTCGTGCTGAGGTTGCCTGCACCAGGCCTCCGACGACGCTGTCGCATCCAGGTGCGCTCCCGCGCGGTTTTGCCACCGCGCTTCGGCGGGGGTCGGGGTATGGAACGCCTGGGGGGTGAGGGGGGAGGGGTGGCGGGGGGGCCGTAGCGGGGGCGGCGCCCCGGAAGGGGGGGGGTAGGGCCCACGACACCGAGCTACCCATGTTTATTGTTTGGGACGGCTTTAATTTGGAAAGCCAGCGTCGCATGGATTTGGTCGAACAAATGAACGCAATTGGGCTGGAGGCGTCAAGGGGGCCCTGATCGTTGCTTCTCACGGCGCGAAAAAAGCGAAGCACCTCAACGGCCTTGCACACACCAACCGCTGCAATCGCGGCGGCGGATAGTCGCGACTATGCTTCGTCCGAGCGTAGCTCGGGCGTGTGTTTTATCAGGCTCTACGGGGCGCTGCCACTCTGGCTGGCCAGCCTCGCTCGCCGCGTCCTCCTTCCCTCCCCGTGCCACTGCCGTCGCGACAAGGATGACGTGTCCTTCGATACCCCACAAGCCCCGAGCGTGGCTCGGGGCGTGTGCATTGGCCAAGGCCCCACGGGGCGCTGCCAGTCCGGCTGTCCAGCCTCATTCGCCGCCTCCTCCCCTCCCCGTGCAGCCGCCATCGCGAAAAGGATAGCATGTCCTTCTGTACCCCAAGAGCGTAGGGGATTAATACTGGGGGCCATGTTGGGTCCGAGCGTGGCTCGGGGCGTGTGTATTGGCCAAGGCCCCACGGGGCGGCGGATGTGACTTGTTTAACCCAGGCCCCCGACGTCGTGATTTTGGTCGCAATGTCGACCCCCAGAGGTCTGGACCCCCTCCTTGGGACTGGTTTCTCGTCCAGAGTCGTTTTTCGACGGCCCCGAGGCCGGGCGAGGGCCCCCGGAGGCCGAAGGTAGTGAAAAACCCTCCGCCGTGATGTTTTCCGGACTCGGAGGGGCTTCTCGCAGGGAGGACTGGAGAACGCGATCCGGCTCTCGCAGAGCACGGCGCTGCGCTTGCGTGCGTGGACCATCTGTGTGCCGCGCCTGAGGGCAGGAAGAGAGGCCGCGCGGGAGCTCGCTGCGCAGAGGGGCCCCCGGACCTCGCCCCGCCGCCGGGGGACTCCAGGCCTTCCGTTCCGAGATGGCCCCGAGAGGGCTCTCGGATTCTCGGCTTCACGCGGGCAGCAGGAGCTCGTTCCACAGGCGGGGGGCTCCAGGAGCTCAACAACACGTTCCCAGGTCTCCGATCGGCTGGTGATCTCTCTCCTCCTCCCTCTTGCTCTCCTTCCCATCCTCCTCAGCCTCGTCTTCCTCGTGCTACTCCTCTTCCTCCTCGTCCACGCAACCCTCTCGTTCTCGTACGTTCTCTGTGCTTGTTCGATGGTTCCCCCATGCGTTTCACCAAGGGCTTTCCATGTTCACCTTGATGTTTTCCGACAGTTGGCGACGACCGACAACTTTTAAGATGTCCCCAGGTTTGCCCCAGAAGCTCTCAAGAGAGCCAAAAGGCGTCACCAAAATAGACGAAGATTGCCACGACGGCCCTAGGAGACCCTCCTCTCCCTCTCCCTGCGCCCTGTGCTTCGATTCCTTGTGTTCATCCTTCTCATACACCTGCCCCGTCTCCTTCCCATGGTTTTCAAAACGCGCGCTTGTCGTGCGCGCTCTCGCAGAACAATGTTGGTTCTTGCCGTGGGAGTTCCCCCTCTTCCGTTGATCCGTCCCTTTCCCCCCCCGTCACGTGTTTACCTTCCGCCCCCCCTCTGAACTTCCGTCTGCGCCAACTCGAATATCAGCGCGCGCGAAGCGCGCGCGATGGATCTAGTATGGATGTATGTATGGATGCGTGTGTATATGTTACAGATAGGCATACATGTAAATATGGATGGATCCAGCTGCCTGCGGTACGTCCGCAGCATTTCCAGCCTAAGTTTCGGAGTGGTGAATGCTCGGTGATGGGAGAGCTGTGAATCGGATGCTGATGTTGATGATGATGTTTATGCAGATGTTGTTGGTGTTGCCATTGTTGTTGTTGATAGTGATGGTCATGATGTTGTTGTTGATGATGTTGATGGTGGCGGTGACGAAGACGATTGTGATGCTGATGACGATAATGCTACTGATGATGATGCTGACGATGTTGATGTAGATATTGATGTTGTTGTTGATGATGGTGTTGATGCTGATGTTACTGATACGACGGAGGATGGTCGTGGTAGAATTGTTGATGGCGGTCATGCTGTTGGTAACGATAGTGATGGAACTGGCCATCGTGTTTCTGATCATGGCAGTGGTGACGATCGTGGTGGTGATGATGGCGCTACTGGTGATGATGATGAGGAGGATGATGATGATGATGATGATGATGCTACTAGAGATGCTAAGTCGGATTGTTGTGATGGTATTGATGTGTCTCAATATGTTGATGATGCTGATGGTGGTGTTGATGCTGATGCTGATGCTGTTGAGTATGCTGATGATGATGACGGTGATGACGATGATGGTGTTGATGATGATGCTGATGATGATGATGATGCGTAGGATGATGATGGTGATAATGATGATGATGATGCTGATGATGATGCTGCTGATGATGATGACGGTGGTGGTGGTGGTGGTCGAGGTGGTGGTGATGCTGGTGATGATGATGATCGTGGTGTCGGTGAGGAGGAGGAAGAGGAGGAGAAGGAGGCGGAGGAGGAGGAGGAGGACGAGGAGGAGGAGGGGGAGGCGTAAGAGGAGCTGGTACAGGATAAGGATGAGGATGAGTTTGAGGACGAGTCTGGTGATGATGCCGAGGAGGAGGAGGTGGAGGAGGATGAGGAGGAGCATGAGGAGAAGGAGGAGGAGGAGGAGGAGGAGGAGGAGGAAGGTCGTCACATGTGACACTGTTCGTCGTCACGATTTGGGGAGCTCTCATGGAACTCGTTCGGATCGTCCTGAGGTTATATTGGCCTCCTGTGAGGCAGTCTTGGGAGTCCTTCGGGGCTCTCTTGGGCCGCCTTCGCCGTGTTGGGCACTCCTGGGCCGTCTTGGGGCCCTCTTGGCCGTATGGTGTCTGGGGGCCGTCGTGGGGCCGTCTCGGGCCGTCGAAATGTCCTCTAAGGCCGTCTTGACTCTCACAGGAGGTCTTCTCAGGCGATGTTGGGGCCGTCTTGGATGCCTCTTCGGCCATCGTGGGACCTCTTGGGACCATCTTGGTACCTCTTGGGGGCCTCTCGGGTCGTCTCAGGGCCATCGTGGAAGCCTCTTCGGCCGTCTTGAGTTGACGGAAGCCCGAACATCTCATTCAACAAAAAATGGACTCGATGATGTTGGCTTCTTCGGACCCCGTCGGAGGTCCTCTTGAGGCAATTTTGGGCCGTCTGGAGGTCATGTTGGGCCGCATCGGGGCCATGGTGGGACGTCTTTGCTTCGAGGAGCAAGGTGTCGAGGAGGGGAGGATCAAGGGGGCGAGGAGGGGAGGAGGTGGTGGAGGAGGAGGAGGTGGTGGAGGTGGTGGAGGTGGAGGTGGAGGTGGAGGTGGAGGTGGAGGAGGAGGAGGAGGAGGAGGAGGAGGAGAGGAGGAGGAGGAGGAGGAGGAGGAGGAGGAGGAGGAGGAGGAGGAGGAGGAGGAGGAGGAGGAGGAGGAGGAGGGAGGAGGGAGGAGGAGGAGGAGGAGGAGGAGGGAGGAGGAGGGGGAGGTACAGCAGGAGGAGGAGGGTCAGGATTCCAACGCCACAGTTTGGGTCTAGCGTCTAGTGTTAATATGGAGGGGGCGAAGGTGGAGGAGCAGGAACATGAGGAGGAGCAGGAGGAGGAGGAGGAGGCGGAGGAGGAGGAGGAAGGGAGGAGATGAGGAGGAGGAGGAGGAGGAGGAAGAAGGAGGAGGAGGAGAGAGGAGGAGGAGGAGGAGAGAGAGAGGAGGAGGAGAGGAGGAGGAGGAGGAGGTGGCGGAAGAGGAGGAGGAGGAGGAGGAGGAGGAGGAGCAGGAGGAGCAGGAGGGGGAGGAGGAGGAGGAGGAGTAGGAGGAGGCGGAGGAGGAGGAGCAGGAGGGGGAGGAGGAGGGGGAGGATCCCAGCGCCACATGTTGGTCTAGCGTCTAGCGAAAAAAAGGAGGGTGCGGAGAACGAGGAGGAGGAGGAGGAGGAGGAGGAGGAGGAGGAGGGCCTTCCGCACCCTTGAGTGTCGGGCCGGATGAGGGGAGGGCGCGGACAGACATACGGTCACGTTGCATCTTCGGCGGGCCTCGTCTGTCTCAAACATCGGTGTCTTCTCTTGTGCCCGACGTGGGCTCGTTGCGGATTCGATGCGGAATTGGCGAAATTCGGCACGGATTCGACACGAACTCGACGAGTCCGACGTGGATTCGACACGGTTTCGGGGCGCGACCGGACAGAGAAAGCTTCCCGATGATTCAACAGAACACGGACACGGCCTGCGTCATGCACCTTTTTTGGTGCTGCAGAGTGGGACCGAAGCGCCCATAAAGCGTAAATTCTGGCAGAGAAGGTGAACCACTGCACACTGCACAAGCCACAATGACGCCGCCACGTTTCTTCCGACGCGCGGCGTGACGCCTTGGAGAGGGGGCCCGGGGCACCAGGGCAAATTCCGCCACGTACGCAAGGTTCGCCGTGGGTTGGCCGCAGTGCGGGCGTCGTCTACTTGGGCGCAGGGCGCAGGGCTTGCCGTGTGTTTGCCGTGGTGTTGGCGTCGTTCACTTGGGCGCGTCGAGAGCAAACGGCCCGGCGATATAATCATTTCCAAAATAATGTGCGTAGGAGGCCGGTTCTGCGGGGAGGGACCGGAAAAGGGAGGGAGGAAGGTAGGGAGGAGGAGAAGGAAGAGGAGCAAGAGGAGGAGGAACATCAAGAGGAGGAGGGAGGAGGAGAAGGAGGAGGAGGAGGAGGAAGACGAGGAGGAGGAGGACCAGTGTAAACCCAAGAGCCTTCAACGATTCTGGCACATACCCTCTGTCCAAGCTCTTCTTCA